TAAGCCTCAAAAAGACATGGAGGAACCTTAAGTGCAAATTGTTAAATAACTGTAGGATTCCAACTATATAACATTCTGGAAATGGCAAACTACAGAGACAGTGTAAAAAAAAAAAAAAAAAAAAAAATCACTCAGAGCCAGGAGGATTTTTAGGGCACCGGAACTATTCTGTATGATCCTGTAAGGGCAGATATACCACACTGTACTTTTATCAAAACCCACTGAACTGTACAACACAGAGTGAACCTTAATGTAAACTATGTACTTTAGTAATAATGTAATAATAATGTACCAGTAGTGATTCAAGTATCACAAGTGTACTACACTAAAGCAAGATATTAATAAAAGGGGCTTGAAGCTTTGTGGAGGGGAGCAGAGGAGGGAGGAAGAACTCTCCTCACTGTTGAATTTTTCTGTAAATCTAAACTGCTCAAAAAAATAAAGTCTATGAATTAAAAAAATAGTTTTGGGAGATTCATAAAATAAGATACAGTCAACTGGAAAATTCACCATATGGAACATATATTTTGCAAAGGTGTTATACAAATAAGGCAAGGTATTTATTAAACCCGTTAGAATTAATTAAAAAGCCACTCTTATCTTACCTGCATCAAACTTGAAATTATCAGTTTAATGCATGGCAAACACAAGAGGTCAGGTTTACAATATGTGATTTTCTAAGAACAGAAACTCTGGGAAAAGTCATTCCTTACTAGTGAGGGGTTTGTTACTCTCACCGGTGGCAGTAAGTGTAGATCAAATAGGGACCACAAAGAAAACACCAGCAAGCAACACTCTAGAAATTTATTACCAAATCATAACCTATGCACAAAGACAACTAAGCTCATGAGACTAGCAAAGTAGCAGCATAAAATGTAAGAAAACGAACGTTTAAGAAATACAATTTAGGAACGTCTTCTTTGAATTAGATTCAAAATACTGAGAGACAAACACAAACAAAAATCTTAACCATACACAAACCATCTTAGCATGTAATGATCTGCTAGAAACCATCCACACAATGGTAACTGAAGGCGACTCCCTGTTGCCGTACCAACACATGAACAGACCTGTGTCCATTTTTGTGTGTTTTCATAAAATACATGGGTTCTTAGAGATTAGACACAGGAATAGTTAGATTCCAAGATTTGTACTGTTATCACATTAGTTTGCATTTATGAAGCTATGAGAAAAGAAGGGAACGTGTGTCATGTTTGAAACTGCTCCTTGAAACGAAACACATCTGAATAATGAAGCCACACCAAAAAGAGAAAGAATCATCCAGACATTTCACAGAGGCTTAATTTGGAATAGATAGCTTTGCAAAGGCAAATATTTTAAATAAAAAATTCAAGATTAAAAAAAAGGTAGTTGGGGGGAGGAGGGCAAGAGAGAGAAGGAAGTACTTAAACAAATCTGCATAGATGATGAACATAATTTAAATATGGTTTCAGTTCATTTCTTCCTAAAACTATGCCTGGTTAACTGAGGTAGACTCTGGAAAAAACAAGTGCAAAGATTCAGGTTTTCCAAAGGGCAATATTTAGTCATTTCAGAGGTTGTAAAACGGAAGTGCATTTTATGAGCACAAAATCAAGTGGAAGCCCTTTTACAGGAAGAAAACCTCTATACTAATTCCCTATTTGTTGTGCCAAACTTCCAAATGTATAAAACCTACACACTGCCGGTGACAAAGCAGTATCCAGGTTATTTATAGACATACATGAAATAAGGTTGATCAAGACATGAGAATGGTAAAATAAAAAGAATAAATGACATTACCTTATTAGTTTTCCTTTATTTATTAACAAGTCACTTGGAAATTTAGAAATACCACTGGGTTAAAGAGTTGTCTGGAACCAAAAAACCTAGTAAACATTTCAAGAATTACTGTTAATTTGTGAATGTTTAAAAATGTATCTATTATCTTAGGGATTTTATTTTTAAAGTACTCATACCGTTTCTGCATTAAGAAACAATATTAAAAGCAAATAGCCTTGGGGCGCCTGGGTGGCTCAGTTGTTAAGCATCTGCCTTCGGCTCAGGTCATGGTTCCAGGGTCCTGGGATCGAGCCCCGCATTGGGCTCCCTGCTCCGCGGGAAGCCTGCTTCTCCCTCTCCCACTCCCCCTGCTTTGTGTTCCCTCTCTCGCTTTGTCTCTCTCTGTCAAATAAATAAATAAAATCTTAAAAAAAAAAAAGTGTTAAAAAAAAAGCAAATAGCCTTTAAAAATTAAATAAGTAAAGCCCAATTTGAAAGTATAAATAAGTAAATATAGTAATTAACAGAGTTTTTAGCTTTTTCAGCAAAGATAATTAGTGGAGATGAGAATATAACATTTGGGGTTCAAATATTTTTATTCCCTAACAAGCCCTCCAACTGTAATTCCTATTCTTCTCTATTGTGACCGATTTTTAGATTCACATAATTATGTGCATCACAGATTAAGTGATATGTAAAAAAAAAAAATCATAAAATCAAAACAGTTAAGGAACAAAAGACACAAAAAATGTTAAAAAAAAAAGTTTCATTCAAGTTAATGTGGCCCTTTCTTGGAAAAGGCCAGCAAATATCCTTAACATTTTATGCCTATCACATAGGATATAGGTTAAGGTGATTTATCACTAAGATAAAAGAAAGAGTGGGGATCTACTATTACACAAAAAGGACTCAATAATCAAGATAATACTGAAGGCGCCAAAGCCCACACAATATGAAATACCTGCCTAGGTCCTTCACTTTATCTCCAGGTAGGGTGGAGAACAGAGAAACATAACTATGCCAACTGGCTACCATTTTACAATTCTCATCTAAATTCAACAGTATATAGTACAAAAAACTTCCAATGCAGGAGTTCACACAAACTCAAGCTGTGCAAAACCTAAAGAATATCAATAACTTCGCGTTCAATAGAGTCAGGCTACATATAGCCAAGTGAAAGAGTGACAGTTATATTGTACATTGGGGCTGTAAACACGCTTTTTTTCTTTAAGTACCTGTATGTTTGTTCATCGGAGATTCACCAGATATTTGCTTGCTCACTTTTTGAGTAATTAGTGGTTTCAGCCTATACTTTGACAGTCAAATATCACATCATAAAAACTGCAATCTCAGGAGCTCAACTGAAGCCCCTAATTATGCAGCTAGACCACAACACATTTCCTCTTCCAAGCTGTCTTGCTTTTTCTGGAGATAGAGGTCCAAGCCGAAAGTGTATTTTGATCATGCTAGAATGTCTACACTGCCACTGACTAGAAGATGAAAGTCTGTGATGCCATCGCCTATTTTCCTGCTTGGATTTCTAGAAGGTTTCAGCCTACATTTAAAAGCCATTTGTCTGGTACATTTCATCTATACTAAGTTCCTTTAAAAAATAAAGTGATTAGAAGAGCAAAATGTTTACCATAATTACATGTGTACATGTTTACAATAAACATGAACGTTGGGAAATAGTTCGTGAAAATCGCCAGATCTATTATAATTACATTGTTCAAACAAACTTAAAACAGATTTAAAGGAGAAAAACAGAAAAACCTGTATATATTATCTTTCCAAAGCACACACAGATTACTGTGCCTCTCCTTTTAAGATCTGAACTTGTTTCATTAGTTGGATCCAGAAGCCACACAGTGTAATTATAGAAAGTGCCCAGTCAGAACCGCACAGCCTCGTCCAACTTTATAAGCCACAGAGCTCCCACCCGAGGGTCTTGTACATGGTAAGCAACCAATATAAATCTGCTGAACGAAGGAACTATCTGATATTTGCAAGACAGAACTGTATAAAACTCAGTCCTAACCTCATTGTGTTGCAGAGCCCAAAATACTCATGTTTTCAGAAGAGGTATTTGATAACGCAACGTAGAAAAAACAAAGCAAAACACAATTTTCTCATTCTGGGTAAGGCAACACACTGTCTTGCGATAAAGACAGCGTACATACAATGTACAGTAAAGGCTGGATAGAACACCTGAGCAATCTCCTCAGGATCCTTTAAGGGGGTTAAGAAATACAAAGCAATTGCCATCCACTGACAGAGCAAAATGAGAAATGAGGGAAATAAAAAATTAAAAAAGCACACCCGATTCACCATCATAGCAAAGATAAGCTTCTAGGAAGCTTGAGTGTCCAAATACTACTTAACTGATAATTTTTAAAAATCACAATTACCATATTATTATCCATGAAGAATTTTAAAAAGAAGAAATACATGCCAACACAAATAACACGAAACCTAGAAAAACAGTCTAACAAGTTTTAGCAATCAAAACACACGTTTTAATGGCTGCCCCTGGGACTTCAGGGAAAAAAATATGTTACTGGATGGCAACAGTTTGCAAGATGATCTTAATGTGATCATTTATTTCTTTATTCAAAAAGTTAATGAATAAAAGAAAACTTACTTCAATGTTTTAAATGAATTCATTCAATTAAAATAAAATCATGATGTCTTATGATTTTAACTTTTATAAACTATTTCTCAGAGGAAAGGGGGGTAATTTATAGCATTATATAAAATCCTAAAGTCTAGAATCAGACTTAAGTTATCTGAAAATTATATAATTCTTAATAGGGAAAAAAATCTTTTAAAGCAAGATACTAAGAGGCTTTTTGTTAAGTGTCTAAAAAGTTCTATTATTTTTAGTTTTAAACCAGCTGGGTGCTCTCCAAAACTGAGAACTGAAGACAGCATCAAATACAAATTTTAAAAAGCATCACCATCCAAAGCAAAGGTTGTCCAACCCAAATGGGATAAATGTAATTTAAAAAAATGAACACCAGGATATCCTACACGCCATCTACTTTTTCTGGCCTCTTTTTATTGTCTAATTCCTGCTGAACTCAATGTGTATGTCAGATTTCTATTCTAATCTTACTGTAGTTGTAGTGTACAAGGTCTCAACCTAGACAAGGTATAATTTTAAAATTTTAAAATTTTAAAATGAACATCACTTATTATGTACAATGCTATTTTGTTAAACTAGCCGTCTGGAAAACCATAAAGATTTTGTTGTTTGTTTTGCATTAGCTACAAGAGAGTGGGCTTCCTTAGAATACCAAAGTGTTTTTTTAGAATATGAAAGTCAAGTTCAGCAAAAATCAAACATTGTTAGAGCTGAGGAAAATAAAGGACTTATCCATTTGAATGTATTGAAAGAAAAGTGAAAACACACCTAGAATTCAAGAATGAAGAAATGCTTCTTACGCAATCATAATATTCTTCCCATCCTTCCAACATAAGTACCAGCAAAAAATACTAAAGACCAGAGAAACAACCTGACAAAACACTTCAAAGACCACAAGGCTTGAGGAGATCATAAAGCTGAATAAATGAATAAATAGCTAATAGAAGAAATGGTGGGGGAACAGAGGGCAAAAATTCAACTGTATGACAGACCGTGACAGTAAGAATTAAATTCTAAAGTTTTAACTAACAATTTCATTATTTAATTCAAAACTATCATTTTTAACAATAATGAATTTGACACAAACCCAGTTCTGATGTTAAAAGTCAACATACATGGGTCCCTCACGCTCAGAGCGAAGAATAGAAAAAAACAAAAAACAACAAATGCAAGTGAGAAAGAGAGGTCCTTCTAACCCTTTTGTAAACAAGCTTCTACAAGAGCATACTGATCGCTCTTCGGCCTCCCTGACACGCCGCTTTGCATGTGCAATATTAACGCGTGAATACGTGGAGGTACCGGCACAAAGCCAGGTGATGGAGACTATCAGGCTCCCTATGTAAGCTTTCCTTCTTTCCCAACTACATTTATATTCTTTGTGGTTTTAGGTTTTTTGCCTTTAAGGGAAACATCTCTCCAATGAAAAGTTCTAAACCTGTTTTTAAAAAAAAACTGCATGGAATTTCTTCACATTTTATAAATAAAAATACCAGAAATGAAAGAGCTGACAGAAATTCAAGCAGATCCAAATTCAACCATCCATTTTTCATACTTCTCCAAGTCTGCAGCAGAGACAGACTTAGCAATTTTCTTAAGAGCCAATTCAAAGTCTCCTTTGGTAACAGGCATCTGAAGTTCCTCTTTAGAAAGTGCACGGATCTCCTCTGGACCTAAGCCATTGATTCGCCGTCTCATTGCCATTAAAGAGGCGTCCCTAAAAACATACAAAATCAGTGAATCCATACTGATGCAAATGTTTTAAACACTGTCAATTGTAACAAAGTTAAGAGAAAACATTCAAAAGATCATTTTATGTGTTTTTATGATGCTGCTCAAAAGTTCCCATTTTAGAGATATCCTGACAGTTTGGAAAAGGTTAAAACAGGATGCAAACAACTTAAACATAAAATGTACTATTAATGAATCCTAAAAGTCAAGGTTGGGCTCAGATAGTACTGAACTTTCTTTTCCCCACTTGCTCTTTCAAAGGCAGCCAAGAAAGTTAGGAAACAGAAGTAGAGTTTTGAAATACTGAATTGCACACTTGAAAATGAACACATGGCTAATGTTAAGATAATTCAAATCTTAACCAGTTTGTCTACGACCTAATTAGAGGAGGTAAAGCCAGGAAACTCCTTCTCTGGAACATGAATGTATCTACATAGAGTGGATGTGGAATCCCCCACATGGAGCATTGGTGGGCAACTAAAGGGATAAAACCTGGCTTCTCCAGATCCTATTTTCAGTTCCATTCTGATCAGCTGTAAATAATTATGAAGGTTTGGAAGAACTGGACAATTAATGCTCACAAAAAAGCTATTAGGAAGCCAACCCAACCAAAACCTCAAATTTTTATATATTTTACACAGTGATATTAGAAACTATTGGGAGCTTCTTGTGTGCCACTAAACTTACATGCACGTAAGAAAAATACTAGTACCAAAAGTGAGAAACAACAGATACTCCAGTTTTAAAGAAAGGCTACTGCTGTCAATATAAGTATAGTTAAGAAGGTAAGAAAGAAAATCCCTATTGAGTGATGTGAATTGTCTACAAAATATGTCACTAAATTGAAAGGGAAATATATGATATATTTTACACATATGAAATATGTATTTCCCAGCTTAAACTGATGCAACTTTGCTTGCTCATCTGCATGCAGTAAAATAATGCCAACCAAAACTAATTATTATTTTATGTTGATGCAACTAGGCTCCAATTCAGGGCTAAACTGACCTTAGCTTGTCAAAGTCATTATTGCCAAATTAAGTACAATTTCTTTAAAATCAAAGGATAGATCAGAGAAAGACAATTATCACTTGGTTCCACTCATATGTTGAATAAGGATCACAGGGGAAGGGAGAGAAAACTGAATGGGTAGTCATCAGAGAGGGAGACAAACCATGAGAGACCCTTAACTCTAGGAAACAAACTGAGGGTTGCTAGAGGGGAGGTGGGTGGGAGGATGGGATAATTGGTGATGGGCATTAAGGAGGGCACGTGATGTGATCAGCACTGGATATCAACTGATGAATTACTGAACTCTATATCTGAAACTAAGGATGTACTGTATGTTGGCTAATTGAATTTAAATTTTAAAAAAATCAAAGGAATAGAAAAGGTGATCATATTGTTATACAATTATTCATCTAACAATGACCCATGAGGTTATATAGAAAAGAAACAAGACAAATAAGAAATCAAGGAAATGGGTCGCTGCTTTCACATCAAGGGCTAATAACGATACTAACTTTAAGACCAATCCTCCTGCCAAATCTATACCTAATATCTAAGGTCACGGATCATTAAAAAAATACCTGCAAACATTAGTTATATCAGCACCAGAATAGCCCTCAATCTTCTCCGCTATATCTTCCAATTGAATGTCAGGATCCAGTTCAACCTCACGAAGATTTATCTTCAGCAGCTCAGTTCTTCCTTTCGCTGTAGAAGATTTTTTTGTTACTGTTGGATGTTTTACTTTACAAATCCTTTTGATAAGAAATCACATATTAACATTCAGGAAAAGAAAGAGGAGTCAGTAACTTGAGTCCACCTAGTATTACCAACTCATTGTATGACTCAGAATTCACGAATATCCTAAGTGCCTTGGCTGCAGTAACTAAAAATTGAAACAAAGCTCAGAGTTTTCCTTATAGATTGTGAAGATACTTGCTATGAAAACAAAGGGTCTGTGATCCTTTATGAAAAATAAAATCATTAAGATTCAAGTACCAAACATGCTTTTAGTAAAAAACAACATTTAGCCTAGCTTTATAAAACTAGATTGCATGGAGTGTAACTCTTGTGAATCATTTTGCTCACCTTTTAGTGTGATATAGAAAAAGATTTCCTAGGATACAGGAAATCAGCCCTTAGCACAGAACACATATTAATGTGTTTTTTTACTTGGAGAGCCAGCCCACAGACATTTGCTGTTCCAATATGAGTGAAATGTGTATTGTACTATGTAAGCTCAAATGAATTACAGAATTGTATAAAATAACCAATCATGCTTACTGTTTTACTATCAGTTTTAATGGCAAATTTCTATTTAATACAGCATACTAAGATAATGCAAACGTAGGTTGCATCTGGCTTTCTACTATTTCCTGATATGTAAAATGAAATGTAATCTTCCCCAACTTTTATTTTGAAAAATTTTAAATCTACAGGTTAAAAAAAAAAAAATCAGTGAACACCCATTTACCTTCCATCTAGACTGATCAACTGTTAATATTTTGCCATTATCACTCCCATCTCCTCTCTCCTCCCTCCTCTTTTTTGAATTGAGAGCTAACTGTAGGCATTGCAACACTTCACCTTAAATTCTTCAGCATGTACCTCCTAAGAACAAAGGTATCCATACAATTATCACATTACCAGCAAATTTAACATTGTTATATTAGAATCATCTAATACACAATCCAGATTAAAATGTCCCCATTTTCCCCAGGCCCTTATGACTTTCTTAAAAACCATCACACACTGCATTTAGTTACCATATCTCTTCAGTCTTCTTTAATCTAAAGCAGTTCCCCAAAGTTTGTTTTATCTTTCCTGACATTGACAATTCCCCAAATGATCACATAAAGTCAGAGTATTCCAGTAAAGATCCCAATAGGTCTGTTTGTGGATCTGAACAGGCAGATATTAAAATGTTTATAGAAATGGAAAGAATCAAGGACAACCAAGACACACTGGAAAAACAAAAGTGAGGTGGGAGGAACTGCTCTATTAGAATTTAAGACTTATTACAAAGCAATAGTATTCAAATCAGTGATACTCTTGCAGAGATAAACAAATAGATCAATGATACAGAAAAGGGAGTGTATAAGCAGATCAAAGCATATACTGTGAACACCTGATTTAAGACATATGTGGTTCAAGCAGTGGGAGAAAATGCCAGAACAACTACTATCTACAGGGTAAAAAAAAGAAATTGCATCCTGCCTCATACCATACATAAAAATCAGTGCCAGATATATTACTACTCTAAATGTAAGATGGAAAATTACAAGCATTTTAGAAGATAAAACAGGAAATATATTAATGACTTCAGAGTGAATATTCTTAAGATATATATAGATATATATATAGATAGATATATTCAAGAAGTTGCCCACAAAAGACTGAGAAACTAACCACATTAAAATTAGGAACTCTAATTCACCAAGACTCTGTAAATAGAGTGAAAACACAAAAGTTAAGAGTTTGAGAAGATATTTACAACATATATAAGTAACAAAGTACTTATATCCAGAATATATAAAGAACTCCTACAAATATAAAGGTCAGACCACCTAATAGAAAAATGTGCAAAAGACTTGAACAGATATTTGTTATATATCTTTTCCTTTAGTAGCCATTTGGTTTTGCTATAATCAAATAACATAATAACATAATAAATGGCTACTAAAGGAAAAGATAGTCAAATTATTTAATAAAGAAGGAAATAAAAATTAAACCACAATGAGATAGCACTGCACACCAACAGACTGGTATAAATTTAAAAAGTCTAAGGTTTTGGAAAAATGTGAAGCAATGGGAACTCTCCTATCTTGCTGGTAGGAGTATAAGGTGTAACAACCACTTTGGAACAACCACTTGGGAAGACAGACTGGATTCATCTATTTATTGTTCCAGCTATGCAACATGACCAGCAGTTCACTGCAAGGATGGAATGCTCCATCTCGACCTAAAGAAACTTAGGCATTTTCACCATTATGCAAGTATAAAAATATTCAAAGCGGTACTATTCATAATTGCCTAAAATTGTAAACAATCAAAATGTCCACCAAATAATATGATGGATAACTGTGGTATAATGACATAATGGATGTTATAGGCTGAATTGTCTACCCCAACCCCCGAAGTTTTATGTTGAAGTTCTAACTTCCAATACTTCAGAATGTGACTATTTGAAGATAGGGCCTTTAAAAAGGCGATTAAAGTAAAATGAAGTCATCTGGGTGAGCCCTAACCCAGTCTGACTGGTATCTTTACAAGAAGAGGAGATTAGGACACACACATGGTGAAAGACTACATAAAGACACTGGGAAAAAAATAGCTATCTAATGGCTATCTATAAGCCAAGGAAAGAAGCCCCAGAATGAAACAACACTTTGGCTCGATCTTGGACTTCTAGACTGAGAAAATAAATTTCTGTTGTTTAAGCCACCCAGTCCATGCTACTCTGTAATGGCAGCCCTAGCTGACTAATACAATAGAATGCTATACAGCAACAAAAATGAACAGCATCCAGATACCATAATATGGATGAATCTTAAAAATGTACTTGAACAAAAGAAGCAAAATACAAATAAACATCATTAGTGTGATTCAATTTAAGTTTTTAAAAAAGATAAAACTTTGTTTAGGGATACTTTATTAAGTAAGAAAATTGTTAAGATAAAAATCAATTATTTCCATAAAAGGAATAACAGTGATTACCACCAGGGGGAGGTATGCTAGGGAAAGAATATACTGGGAGCTTCTGAGGTCTGATAATGCTCCATTTCTCGTCCTAGAAAGTAGTCACATGGTTGTTTGCCAATTATTGGATGGACTGAACTAAATTTTAATACAATTTAGTTCTATAATGAGTTATATTTCTCACTCACACACACAAAGTAAGACAAAGCAAAGCAATGCAAAGAGCAGCCACAGTGGAAGAGAAGTAAGCAGGCATTATCCAGGACTGCCAGAAAAAAAGAAAGAGTACTAAGTCAGAAATCTTTACCTCCAGAATTCCTTAATCTTGAGAGCTCCTTATCCTTGATCATCCCCAGCCAATAGGCCCACCTTACAGTTCACTATGGTATAGAGGCAAAGAAGTCCTGCACTCAGATGGTCAGCAAGAGGCACGTGGGGAAAAAAGAGGGAAGGGCAGGAAGGTTTGCTGCTACAGAAAGTGGTTGTGCTCCTGATGCCTCAGTAAGAACTCCGACTTTAACCTAAGTGTGATTTCATAGTGCTCCACGCATAGCAGGTGAATGTTAGCGGACAAATATCACTTTGCTTTCTTAGTCCTAAAGTTAGAGTATCACTATATTTGTAAATCAAAATGTTTTACTGCAGGCCACCCTAAGAACTTGAACACCAAGTTCAGTATAATGTATTATCCCACAGAAACAAAGTTCCAGTCAGTCACCTTAAATGAACTTTGGGGCATAAGCCTGCTCAAAGTGAAGGTCTGCCTGGTAGGAAGCATCTTTTTCCCTAGTAACTATAATTTGGGGAAAATAACTTTTAATTCTGGTTGTATCAGTGAGTTGTTAGAAGATTCCAAGTAGGATTTATCAGTTGTATAAAACTGAATGATATTGTAGAAGGATTTAACCAGAAATTATTATGTCACTAATAAAGAACTGCGAATGCCACATAACCAAGTCAGTACGCATTCTAAATTTAAATAAACATCGTTAAAAGGATCATACACTTCTTATACCAACAATTCTTCTTAAGCACACTTGGCAGTCCAGCACAGAAGATAGCAAGTATGTGCTCTGGGGCCAGACTGTCTGGGCTCACAGCCCTGCTCTGCCTCACTGGGTGGGATACTTAACCCCTCAGTGCCTCAGTTTCCTCACATGTCAAATAAAGATAAGAACAGAATATACTGCAGAAGACTGTTGTGAGGGTTAAATAAGTTAGTACATGTAAAGCCTGACGCACAGCCAGCACTCAAAAAATGTTCATTGTTTCCCCACCACCACCACCACCATTGGCTAGTCAACAAACAAGATTAGAGAGAGACAAAGAAAACCCAGATCCCTTCTATTAAGGACCATCTGAGACACAGATAACCCAGAGAAGTGAATTCTACACAGGGAGATTGGCCAGGCCAAAAAAGCCTTCATAGAATTAGCATGCTTTAATGTCAACTTTGAAAAAAAAATCAATAAACTTTTCTTAAAAGTTTTATTTATTTAAGTAATCTCTACACCCAACGTGGGGCTCAAACTCACAAGCCCAAGATCAAGAGTCATATCCTCTTCTGACTGAGCCAGCCAGGCACCCCACTGGATTTTTTGTTCTTTTTCTTCTTTTTAAGTAAGCTCCATGCCCAACATGGGGCTCAAACTCACAACCCCAAGATCAAGAGTTGCATGCTTTACAAACCAAGCCAGCCAGGGGCCCCAATAAAATTTAAATAGAGCAATCTGGGAAATGGGAGTACCATAAATAATGACATAGAAGTAAGAAGAAGCATGAGCATACCAGAGTTGTGGCGGGGGGGGGGGGGGGGTAGGTAAGTAGAAAAGTACAAAGGAGAACTGAGAAATGGAAATAGACACAATTAAGACAGATAAGGTATGAACCAAAAAGCACTCTGACCCTGATGTGATAGGAAGTTAGACTCAGAGTCTAAGAGACTCTATGACATTTCAGTGATTTAGGGAGGTTATTCTAAAAGCAAAATACAGTTAAATGAAAGGGGC